TAAAACCAAATCCGCAGCTTTGACCATCATGTTCCATGAAACCAAAGATACGATAAGGACTTTCAGCTGTAGCTGTGCAAAGTATTCAGTCAAGGTGCTAAATGTCAGAACGGTCTCACCATGGACCTTGGCTTCTCTGCATTATCCCAAAATGCACTGAAATCTGTGACAAAGTGTAGAAGAAGTTTTTGCTCTAAAATCTGTAGATGAATGTTTTTCTGAGTACTTTTACTCCAAGCAGCAGCTTTATAAAGATACCAACAAATCTTCTCTGCTGTCTGTTTCAGTGCCTTCTCCGAGTACCTTACGGTTGGATACAACCGCTTCCTTTGGCGCCGCCAGGGAAGTTGTCGCCATAAAGGACTACTGCCCGTCCAGCTTCACCACTCTGAAGTTCTCTAAAGGAGACCGGCTTTACGTGCTTGACTCGTCGGGGGGGGAGTGGTGGTATGCCCACAACAGCAGAGAGATGGGTTACATCCCAGCGGCATACGTTGAACCCATCAGCTACAGAGACTCGTCCTTTAGTGACAGTGGAATGATCGACACGCTGGGAGACTCTAACGAGGATGGGGCCAAAGAATTGGACTTGTTAGGAGAGTGGACAGGAGTGATTTTAAAACCAACTACTTTTCAAAATGGAAATCCTTTTGCTGTGACCAATTCCTCCACAAACCCTTTTCTAAACAGCCCGCTAGATCAGATTAGCAAACAGAATTCAGTTGACCTCCTTCTGTTTGATACGCTCACTTCCTCTGGTCCCACTTCCACCAGAAACCCTGGAGACAATGGTTTTAGTGGCAGTGCTTTCAATGTGAACCCTATGAGTCCCTCTGGCCAAACCTTCCAAAGAGACAACCCTTTTTTTAGAAGTAAGCGTTCCTACAGCCTGTCTGAACTGTCCATCCTTCAGGCTCAGACCGACCCTCCTCAAGCTTCCAGCGGTTTCTTCGGAGGACTTAAAGCACCAGCACCAGAGCAGTTCCAGAGCAGGGAGGACTTCCGCACAGCTTGGCTCACCCATCGCAAGTTGGCTAGGTCCTGTCATGACCTGGATTCGCTGGGTCAGAACCCAGGATGGGGTCAAACTCAGCCAGTGGAGACCAACATTGTCTGTCGTTTGGACAGTTCAGGTGGTGCGGTGCAGCTTCCAGACACCAACATTAGCATCTTTGTACCTGAGGGCCATGTAGCACCAGGGGACACGCAGCAAATCTCCATCAAAGCTCTTCTGGACCCTCCACTGGAGCTCAACAGCGACCGCTGCACCACGGTCAGCCCGGTGGTGGAGATCAAACTCAGCAACATGGAGACCAAAACCACAATCACCCTGGAGATGAAAGTGTCAGTTGTTGTGAAAATGGAGAGCAGACAGACGACGGAAGTCTTATGTGTGAGAAGTGATTGTAAGGAGGGGCCATACACCCCTATCCCACAGGCATACATGTACGGGGACACGGTCCAAGTGGGCCTGGATAGCCTGGAGCCATGCATGTACGTCTGTGTTGTGGCCCAGGCCCAGTCGTTACTTCCTGAATCCACGGTTTGGGAGAATGTGGTCAAAAAGATGACATTAGGAGTTTATGGTCCAAAACACATCCACCCATCCTTCAAAACTGTGGTTGCCATGTTTGGCCATGAATGTGCTCCAAAGACCCTCCTGGTGAGCCAGGTGGGTAAACAGGCACAGGTTGCACCACCAGTTACTCTACAGCTTTGGGGAAAACATCAGTTTGTTTTGTCAAAACCTCAAGACCTCCATGTTGGTGTTTACTCAAACATGGCAAACTACGAAGTAAAGGCCAGCGAGCAGGCAACGGCGGTCCGGGGTTTCCAGATTAAATTAGGCAAAGTCAGCAGGCTGGTCTATATGATCTCCACACGCAACATTGACGAAGTTTCAGACTTCACCCTAAGAATCCAGGTCAAAGATGACCAAGAATGTATCTTGGCTCAGTTCTGTGTCCAAACACCAACACCGCCCCCTAAAGCAGGTCCAAAGGCATCAGCACAGCGGAGATTCCTCAAGAAGAAGGAGGTGGGGAAAATAGTTCTGTCTCCTCTTGCTGTTGCCACCAAATACCCCGTTTTTCAGGACAGGAAGATAAACAACCTGAAGTTTGGGAAGTTAATCAAGACAGTGATCAGGCAAAATAAAAACCAGTACTTGCTGGAGTACAAGAAAGGAGACTTTGTAGCTCTGCTGAGTGAGGAGAAGATCAAGCTGAAGGGCCAGTTGTGGACAAAGGAGTGGTACATTGGGTACTATCAGGGCAAAATGGGGCTGGTTCATGCTAAGAATGTTCTAGTGGTCGGCAAAGTAAAGCCCATTTACTTCAGTGGGCCTGACCTCACCACCTCCTCCTTACTGGAGCAAATTCTGAAGCCCTGCAAGTTCCTCACATACATCTATGCGTCAGTTAGAACAATCCTGATGGAGAACATCGGGAACTGGCGAGTGTTTGCCGATGCTCTTGGATACGTCAACCTACCGCTGACACATTTCTGCCGCACAGAGCCGGACAGCGAGCCAGAGAGGGTGGCTTCGGTCCTGGAGAGGCTAAAGGAAGACTGCAACAATGCAGAGAGCAAGGAGAGGAAGTCCTTCCAGAAAGAACTTCTGACTGTAAGTTTGGCAACAGCCCAACATAAAACCCTTGGAATCAAAAGCTCTTGTTTTTAGCGTTGCCTCTGGTCGGTCCAGTTCAATAGCTATATGTCTGGTAGATTTCTCTTTTCTTTGCTTGGGTTTGTAATTCCCCCGCAGCTGTTTAAAGCCAGGAGCTCCAGGCTGGGGTCCAGCTCAGCTAATTCTGCTGGGAGAGCAGTCGATAACTGCTGTGTAGGCAGAGAGACCTAGCAGAACCTGAGCAGCTGGAAGACAGCAGAGCATAAAATGCTGATCTGATAAATCCTGTTGATCTTTATAGACCAACAAATCAGCCGTGATGAAGGAAGGCCAGAGGAAGCGCTGGAGAACACAGCCTGATGCTCTGGTTTTCTAAAACCCAGTATAGGCGGCGATCTGCAGCCTTTGATGCATCCAGCTTTTAGCTTTTTAAACCAAACAGTGTTAGCAACCCTTTATTCTTGTTCTATAGCTAATTTTTTTCTCAGGTGGAGAGTTTTATTCCTCCTAAACATTAAAAGCTGCTGTTTTATATTCACTCAGTTTAACCCTGTTTAAATTAATTTAATGATCTAAAATGTGGAAAATAAAAATGAGTAAATAAGTCAATAAAGAGGCTAATCTGTCCTGTTTTTAAGTAGTTCCTCCTTTAAAACATTTAAAGTGCCGTTAAACTGTTTGTCGCATCGTTTCCTCGTCAGCATTTAATCCTCCTGACGGGTCAGATCCAGAGCTGAAGTCACACACAGCGAACAGGAAGGCTGTAATTTACCAAGGTTGTAAACACTAGTTAGACCCATTTATAGACGGGAGCGGTGGAGCTGAGGAGCACAGATAGAAATATAGAAATAGACTGTGAGGCTAAACATCTACAGAAGGCAGCAGCTGGACTGTTGGACCCCAGAAAGGCTCCTGGTTCCTTCTGATGAATATTTTTTACCAGTAAAGGTTCTGGTTTCATTTAGGGCTGCTTGATTCTACAAATAACATAAATGAAATAATAAAGTATAATATTTGAATTTAATTATTCAAGTATTGCTCAGCCATGTTTTCTTTTGTTTGCTGCAGCTGAACTGGTAAATAAACCAGTGAACTGCTGCATTTACTCACAGAAACTATCAAACATAAACATGAAGTGCAGCAATAAATATAATGCAACAGAGCATTAGACAGGAGTTGGAAATGGAAAACAGGGAATTATCCACCGTTAGTCTCAAGCTTTGATTTCCTTTGAAAAGGAACGACAGACTTCCTGATCTTTTCCTGTCTGATGGTGTAGAGCAGCGGTAGATCATCACGCTGCTGAAGGTCTGGTATCTGGGCAGCATCATTCTGTGGGCTAAAACAGTGAAGGTTCTAAAGAGAATATGAAGGATAAGCATTGAAGCTAAACCAGGGTTAGTCAGCGTGTTTCCATAGTAACGGAGGTGCAGCTGTCAGTCACCGCTCTTCACTTTGATGCCCTCATTATAACCAATCATCTTGTGCACCTCCTCCTTTGTTCTGGAAAAAGAAAACATAGGAGGGGTGTGAATACTATTAGGTACTGTATCTATAGCTGGTAGGTAAAACTAACCCATATGATGAAATCCATGAATCGGTAACGACTCAGTGGTCTCCATGATCAGGTCTGTCTGAATACAGGAAAGGAAGTAGGAAGGCGCTCATAGCTGCCTATAGAAGCTCAACGGCTTCCCTCAATCCTTTAGCCTAAGGATGTATAGGCCTAGCCTAGCCCACCTGAAAGTCTAACAACAATCCTTTATTTTAGATGCTAATGTTTGCACCTTTCAGTCTTTTGGGTTTCATAGCAGAGAGCTTCATTAGTCCTACTTTAACCAAAGAGTTTCCATCCCATGATGATATTCATGAGGCTGAGGCTGTCTGGATTCAGAAGGAGCTAGGAAAGGGTGCTAAGAGCAGGAGCTATGAGCTAGTAAAGGGAGCTAGGTGCGGGAGCTAGGAGCTAGATCATCGTCATCACCATCATCATCGTCATAGCTAAGGACTGAAAGAAGCTGAAGCAGCTGATAAAGAAGGTCAGCTCTGTTCTAGGAACTCCTCTAGAACCTCTGGAGATGAAGATGATGATGGACAGCAGTGAGCATCCTCTTCATCAGA